TCCACTGCTTCCTGTAGGTATCTTTGCTGGCCTTGCAATAATAGGGAGGAGGCCATGGGCCTGGACAGTGGTGCCCCTTGTTTACTGAGGAGCTTCCCCTCAGGGCCATCTTGGCTGCAGGGTGTAGCATTCCGTCTGAGTCAGGGTGAGCTATGTGGGCATTGAAGGACATCCAGACAGTAGACTTTGCAGAGCTGCAGTGGAGATTGGAAGGAGAAGCCTGGAGTGCTTGGCTTGGGCCCCAGGGCTCCATGACTGCTGAGGACTTATGGCTGAGACAAAGCAGAAAGTGAAGTAAGGCTCAAGTGGCAAGGCATTGAGGGAAGTAAGAGAGGAAAGAGAAGCTTCAGAGAGATGCCAGAAAGCTCCCTGTTTGCCATACAGCCCATCTGGGTAGCACAGGCAGGCCAGAGGACACACTGACTTGTTAGCAGGCTGGTGAAGGGCTTTGCAGGGCTTCATGAGTTCTCCACCAGGTCCAGAGCAGGATGTTCCAAGAGACTAGAAATCAGTGAATGCCAATACTGAGCAGGCCATGACTGAGCTGGAGGGCCTTTGTGACCCCTGCCACATCTGACACGACTGTACCCAGTACTGGCCCTCAGGAATGAGCTGTGAGTGGGCTCTGTGTCTGCCCCACTGTGACAAGATGGTGTGCCTATCTGCGGGGCCTGCATAGGCCCTCTGAGGGCCATGTGGTCAATGCCAGGCAGATGGTGGCACGGGAAGGTGAGCTTGGAAAAGAGACAAGTCCCTGAGTTATTGTTGTGGTCATGTAGAGTCAAGCCCAGCATCCTTTCCACATTCCCAGGCCAGGACCTTCCTTTTTATTGCTGTCCTACCCTGCCCCCAGCTAGAGATCATCATCTGTCCACAGGAATTCACAGGCATGGGGCCAAGGGGCAAAGAGTAGTGCTCACCAGCCTTCCTGGTCTGGTGTTCTGCATTCACCTCCACAGAGTGCATTCTGATTCACCGCCTAGTGGTTTCTAAGGCTTTTGTCTTCATGGAAACGGGTTGCTTTCTTCTTTCTTCTACAAGTGGCTAGTGAGTTTGAACCACTGGCCTTCATCATTAGCAGTGGAGCCCTTAATCACTGTGTCTGCCACCAGGGTTCCTTCCTCAGCATTCTAGGGGGTTCCAAAGGTGGGGAAAATGAGAGGCTGTCCCTCTCTGCTCCAGAGTTCTCTGCAGGGTGGTGTTTAGTGAAGAATCAGCTGTGTGTGTGGTTCGAGGCAGGAGCCTGGCAGCTCTGATGGTGAGCTGCTCAGGTGTGCTCCCCTGGCTCACATAGATAACATACTTTCTTACCTCCCTCTTGCATGACCTTGCCAATTATTCTCAGAAAGCTGTGCGTTCAGTGAGCTGCTGGAGATGACCACTGAGGTCTGCCAAGAGCAGGCCTTGGTGCTCAGCCCCAGGGAGAACACAGCTGAAACCTTAGTTTGCAGGGGACTGTGTTCTGATGACTGGACCTTGTACATCTTCCAGGAAGATACTTGCCTACACTAGACATCTCCCAACACTTAACTCCTCAGACTGAGGCATCCAAGGAGCTGCAGGGAGGTGGAGAAGAGCAGACCTTGCTGAGCACAAAGCCCAAACTCATTGCTATCAGGCAATCAAGATGTAGCACTCTGAGCACAGACCTGAGGGCTCTATGCCAGCCTGCCTGGAAACCTGCTTGCATCTGCTCCTCTCCCCGGCACTTTGTGCCGTGTGGGAAGCCGTTCCAGGAGCCTTCCCTGCTGTGAGAGAGACACACTTTAGCTAGGTCAAGGTAGAGTGTGGCACACTTGTCATTTGCCTGACCTGCAAGACTTGAGGTAACTTGCTGGCTGGGGAGCTAAGAATGCTGAGCCTGACGTTGGGGTGCCAGGGCCCTGCTAGAGTCTAAGCAGGAGAGGGTGCATTGGTGCTGCTCTGGGACCCTTTTGAGTTTGAGTACTGAAATGCTGGCTCCTTTTTCAGATCTTGAGAACAGGCGCCTTTTGGCCTGGGCCTCCTAATTGCCTTGGTGTAAAGACTCCCCTTTTATCATCTACCTATGTTTACAGCAAAGCTGCCAGGCTCCTCTGGTCTGGGCTGATTTGAGTGGACTGTCCCAGTAGCAGCAGACACTGTCCACACAGGGGCTGTGGGTGTTTCTGTATGTGACAGAGAGAGATTCTGATGGGTAAGGCTGATTTCACCTCAGTCTGAGCTTGTGGCCTGTCAGAAAGCACCCCGTAGGGCCAGCTGGGTACCTGACAATGGCCACCTGCATGCTGAATCACATATGAGTCTGGCTCTGGGCTCAGGAGTACTGACTGCTGCCCATGCTGGTGCAGCATTTGGCCCACAGCTCTTTGGGGGAATCTGCTGCCTCTGCAACTATGTGATCTAAGGGATGGTAAGACTTCCTCTGTGTTCTGTCCTCCTTCCTTTGTAACCCACACCACCCACTCACTGGGCTGTGAGTTCTGCAGCTGCAGGCCCAACTGGCCCTGGGGTACAGCTGGGGCTGTGGGAAGCCAGCTAGCATTCAGCCTGTCCCCATCTGGGATATCGGTATATCAACAAGGGCTAGTGTGTGAGAAGGTTCTCAGCAAGCTCACTCAAAGGTGAGTCACGCTGCATAGCCCCCTTTCCTCTTGTGGAGAGTGGATGCTGAGGGCTCAAGGGGCTTTCTGTAGTCTCTTCCTTCCAGCTGCCCCTCCCTGTGCACTCTTTGTGGTCAGGCCCTGCTCACCAGTGGGAGCACAGTGGTCTCAACACTCCACAAACCTAAGAAGGGGTTGTGTATATCTGCAGCTGACTCTGCAGAACAGTGTTTTGATATAGGAGAATAGTAGGCAGGATAGATTATGGGAACATGGCAGGTGATGATGGTAATTTACCTGAGCTGATTTTGTAAAGGCTGACCTTGGGAGGGAAGGTCATTTAGTACAGGGATGGGCATATGCAAGACTCATGAGTCAGACCACTGCTACCCAGGAAGTTGCCAGGGATGCAGGGTGATGACAGCATTGAACATGTCCCAGGCTCACTCATGGTGGACAGCCACGAAAGGCTTGGAAGGCTCAGTATTCCAGAGAAGTCTCGTGAAAGGAAAAGAGCCCAAAGCCCACCACCCTCCTGTGTGAACTCTGATCAAAGTAACTCACCTTGACTGGCTCACTGGCAGATGGGCGGGTGTTGGGGGTGGGAAGGGGGGGTGACAGGGAAATTTTCCCTTTTCCTGTGCTCACCTGTTGTGTTAGAGAAGACCTGATCTGAAGTTTGGGGATGTGGGCCTCTTCTGAAGACACAGCCTGACCGCTGGACCCCCAGAAACAAGTCTGCAATGTTGGTTATGAAGACTATATGTAGGAAGCGCTGAGAAGTCCCTTGAGTTGAAGCAGTTCTCAGTGACCTGCCCCAGGGTCCACCCTGATCCTGGGCACCTTGCTCTGCCTGCTGCCCTCCTGCTGGCCATCATGCCCCCACCCTTTCTCTCCCGTCCTGATTGCACTTCTGTATTCTTCTGAACCCTTGTCTCATCTCCATCTTCTGTTCCCCACCTCATCTCCTCCTGAAAGCCTCTTCCCTCTTTGATGACCGTATTCTCCTCATCTCATAGCTCTGTTTCTCTCTCTTCCCTTGCTTTGTTTTCCTTCTACCACTCAAGGGGCAGACACAGAGGACTCATAAATGTTGAGCCTGTGCCCATGTTTGTATTTTGCCACTTCTACCCATGCCTGATATATTTCAACCAAGGCCTTCCCAGATGGTCCCACTGTGGAGTGTAGCTCCTTGTCCCACTGGCTTGTGCAGCCTCCACACGAGAGCCCTACTCTGCTCTTCCAGCCACAGTCCTTCCCCCATGGTGCTGGGAACCACTAGCCTTGAAGAGAAGGGGTCTCTGAGGAGCCCCTGGCAGTCCCATCACTTGCTTGCTCAGCTGAGCCGGATTCTTGCCCACACTGGATTAGGATGTTTTGGGACCCAGCTAAGAGGGAGGGACAACTACTCTCTCCCCTCTTCCATTACCCACATGGCTCCTTCATGAAATTCTGCTTGTGCCTTCATATCCCCTGTGCTGTACCTCCCCCAGATCTCTAATGAGCTTCAGGGACCCTGTCTGTGCCCCCACAACCCCAGTGCTGCATCTCCCCAGATTTACACTGAGTTTTGGGGTACCAGTGGGAGGGTTCTGACTCCAGAGTGAATCTTGCTTTCCTTTCTTTTTGGTCTGGACGGTGTCTGAGTTTAATGCTCATGGAGTAACAATGACATGGGCACAAGGGTTCAATGTGGTTTGTGGGGATCAAGGAGTGCGGTGGCTGCAATGCCTATGGTTGTACCACCATGGGAACTGTTGACCATTTAGGAACCACCAGAGGAACAGGCAAAGAACTGGGGCCTGAACCCCAGCCTCAATTCTGAGGTCAGCCAAGCCTGGGGTGCTGGGGTGCCCGGGACTGCTCCTCGGCTGGCTCATCCACCCTCAGAAAAGCCAGCTTTGGCTCCCTAGGCCCTTCGTCTTAGGCCCCTGTTGAGGAGCAGGGCTTGCTGTGTCCACTCCCGGGGTGTGGGTGGGTCTGGGTCAAACTCAGAGAGGTCCAAACAGCCTGCACCTCACTGGGATCCTTCTGCACACAGACACAGCTCACCACATCTGAGGAAGAAGGAATGAACAAAGGAATACGCAAATATGAGGTGCTGCTTCTGAGTCTGAGAAGCAGAAGGAAGGAATGAAGAAGGGAGTAGTGGAGAGAAAAGGAAATGGTGAATGCAGTCATTCCAGAGAAAACTATCATCGCTTCTCCCTGGAGAAGCCACCACGCTTCTGGGAGAGCCTGCTGCCTCCAGGGTGCCTGGCCTGCCCAGTCTCACTAACACAAGCACTGCCCAGAACTCCAGGAATGTTTATTGGATAGTTGGGGGCTGAAGTCTTCCTTGAGGACCCCCCTAGAAGGCATCAGGAAAGACATCCAAGGAGAGGGTGAAGGATACAGCCAGAGGAAGTGTCCCAATGCCTAGGGGTTGGCCAGAGCTGAAGCCTGGTAGCCTCGCTGTTTGTTCATGGTGCTCAGGAGCTTCTGCACATAGGAGGTCAACAGATCATCCATCTTGTAGCCCTGGACATGGAACAGGGTTGAGTGTGAGGCCATGGGGGCTTGACCTAAGGGTGTGGGGGCATCATGGTTCTCTGCCTGGGCAGAGAATATCTTGCTGACTGGGTATACCCATTGTGCACTGCAGGGCACTCTCACATCTCCTGCCTTTCCAGAGTGGTCCTGCTGTGAGACAGCCCACCATGGCCATTGCTGCCAGCCCTGAGACTTGCCCAACCAGGAGGCTTGCCAGTGAGCAGTGTGACCATCCTGACTGCAGTCAGGGTGAGGGTGAGTGCCCAGCTGCACCTTGGCTTTGGGTCTCTGTATAGTCCATGTTGGTGCTCACCAGGGAGGTTTCACAAAGCAAGCGGCTGCCCCGGCCCAGGCTCCCCAGTGCCATGTGGAAGTAGGTACTGCCACTGCTCCAGCTGGCGATCTTAGTGAAGGGGTAGGTGTTAAGCAGCTCCTGAGAGGAGTGAGCAGGACAGGCAGATGATGGATACCTAGATAAAGACTGAATCCTGCTGCCCAGAACCGCAGGATGTGTGTGTGTGTGTGTGTGTGTGTGTGTGTGTGTGTGTGTGTGTGTAGATGTGAAAACCCCTAGTGACATGTCTGCAGCCTCCCCAACCCTCAGGGCCCTGCTCCTACCCTGGTCTTGGGGTGGATGAGCAGAACTCCATGTCGATTGATGGCAATGACAACAATTTCTGGATAGGAGGGCTCTGAAGTTTGCTGGGAAGGGAGGTCGTGATAGTTACAACATTTTTAGGAGGCCAAGTGGTCACCTTCCAGTTTGCCTTCCCTGTGGCACATGTACATTCACTCAAACATACACATTCACACAGGCACACTGTCACCCTCATGCATGTGATATGTGGCATGTGTGTCCCTGGTAAACATGGCTGGAGGCTGCAATTTCAAGTGTCTGGCAAGGGTCTTGCTGTAAGAACCTGGGCATAGCCATGCCTACCTTCACTTCAAAGAAGGCAGAACCAAACGTGGGCCACTGGCAGATCCACTTCAGGAAGGCCACCTTGGCCTCTTCCACTCTCTTCTCCACAAGTTTGTCATAAGCCAAAGGGATGTTCTGGGAAAAAAAGGCAGAGAAAAGGGCTTGCTGTGGCTGGGCCACAAGGAGCAGGACAGCCGGTCTAGAGGCCCAGACATTCTGCGAGGCAGCCACCATCTGTAAGGCTCCAGTGTAGAGCAAAAATAGAAGGCCACGAATTGATGTGCCCTCCCATCCTAAGAGTAGACCTGTCCAGTCTGCTTCAAGCACCTTTCTCCATTCCTCTGAAGACATCAGGCGGATAAGGTTCTCAGGTACAAGTTGTCGCAGAATCTTGGGAACACTAGCCAGGTAGGACCGGTCATTACCAAAGTGGGCCTTGTAGATGAGACTAGCGAGGTGTAGAGCATCCTCTCTTGAACACTTATGGAACCCACGCAGGTACTTGGGCAGCTCCTGGAGCAGCAGACATGTGTCAGTTGCATGCCTTAGGTCCCTTCCATGTACTCATGGACTGCCCCTTTCCCCACTCAGACAGCAGAGACTTATGTGTCCCATTTAGAATGATTGAGCAGGCAAGGTGCAGACATCTTTGGGGGAGAATTTTTAGCCAGGAAACAAATGAGTAGGTAGCCCCCCATATCACTGCACTGGTGGGCCTGGTTTTGTGCCTAAGAGCTCAGGCTGTTTTTTCCCATGCTGTAGGGTATCTACCCACACCTCCTCCCCTTGGCAGTGATGCTGCTGGTGCTGGTGCACCCACTGTTCTTAGCACTACTGCTCCACTTTGGGACTTCTCGGGCTCAGTCCGCCTTCCTCTATGGAGTAGGTGCAGACTCATCTACCTCTGAGGTCATGATTGTTGGAGGAAGAATGGGCCCCATATGCTATCCCAGGGCTGGCTGGGGCTGGCTGGCCAGTGGGTGAGTATCTTTGCCCAGGTACCTGGTGGTAGTGGAGTATGACATCTGCATTCACATCCTTCCCTGGGACTACGTTGAGCCATAGTTTCCGCATAAAGAACACTTGATAGGGAAGCACCGTGGGGGCCCCTGAGTGAGAGGTAGCAGTGAACAACAAGCCTGCTCTGTGGCCTGCTCCAGCTCTTGGTCATCCACAGCCCAGCAGGCCTGGCCTGACCCTATCACCTGCACCCTTTGCCCCCCTGCATAGCAGAGCAGCCCTGGCCCTAACATGTTGCCTTTGGCCCTCTTGTAATTCAACCAGAAAGCCACCACCTCGTCTTCCTCCTTGAGTCATTTCTGTTCAGGACACATTCCCTTCAGAACACATATTGTCAAGGATGTCCCTGGGTTATGTACCTTGTACCACCTTGCATTACATCTGCTCTGGACCTGTATCTTTTTGTATCTTCCCAGGCTGGGAGTGCCCAGAAGTATTAAGAGATTAGTGCCTGGCCCCATCCACTCAGGGGGCCGAGACCAATCTAGAAGGACTGAGCAGGCAAGGCACAGACACCCCTTCAGGAGAATGCTGTATCCTGCTATACTCTGTCCCCCAGGTGAGACAAAGGTGAAGGAATAAATGAACGAGCGAATGAACCCAGGGATCATGAGAAGATCTTGTAGGCTAACTTCTTGGACAGACCTGAGTTGGGGAAGGCTGAACTTGATGGCAAGGGGTGAACTGGACAGGAAGGAGGTGGGCGATGGGCCTTCCTCAGAGAAGCATGCATGACTTCTCTCCCAGCTCTCTGCCACTCTACCCCACAGAGACTCCTTTACCTTCTTTCTGAGGCTTGTTCTTTTTCACCCAATCAGATACTTGTCTCAAGGAGTCAAAGAAGAAATCTTCCCCCTTTTGGCTGAAGACCTGGGAAAGGAGGATGAAGGGTGAGCTAGAGAGGTGAGTGGGTGGAGCTACCTCCCCGGTGAGTGCTAAAGTAGGGCTGGGCTCAGCACCAAGTGTCACGCTGGGAAGACTGCTGTCAAACAGTATGGCTGGCAAGCAAGAGGTACATTCAACACAGGTGAGTAGGCAGCAAAAGTTTAGTCCGTCCACCCATGCCCGCCCAACTGCTGGGCGCACCTTGTCAGAGATCTTGATGAAGAGGCTGCAGCCCTCCCAGGAGGCCAGCTGCAGCTTGGCTGCAATGTTGTGGCAGACATCCTGCACCCGCATGTGGGTGCTCACCATCAGCATCTGGGCAGAGGGGTGTCAGAGAAGCTTCTGAAGCTGTTGTTGGAGCAGCAAGGCTCTTCTGGGGAGCCCTGTGAAGCCTGACCGGTGTGTTGTGTACCATGCTAAGACATAGTCTAGCCCACTCTTTGCCAAGGACCACAAACACCCTTTCCAGAAAGTAGCCAGTAACTGAGGTTATTTAGTCCCTGACCTGCCCTCCTGACTTACTGTGAAAGCCCTGTGGCCATGTTCTAGCGCAAGTTATTTGTAGGTTTCACAATCCAAAACGCTGTTGGCATGGGCTCAGGGCTGCACCAGCACTATGGGCGCCTTGCCCAATCTTCACATCTGCTAGGGCCCTCTGCACACTTGTTTCAGGTGGACCTGCCACCTCCTAGCCATCTCCTCCATGAACCCCCCACCCCCACCCCCAACAGTTCTAGTGCCTGAACTCTTCCTTTAGGCACACCCAGAAATGTGCATCTATGCCCTGTCACCTGGTCCATGTCCAGGGCTTTTTGTCCCCTCTCCTCTCATGGCCTCCTTTCTCCTGGATTTGATGTGCCACTCAGCCCTGATGCCCAATTTATGCCTTTGGGGAAGTCCTGGTTTCTGACTTCCCAAGGTCCCTTCTGTTGTCCACAGCATCTGTATACTTGGGATGTTGTGAATTCTGCTGCTGATCAACTTCTGGGAGCTGGGGTGCTCAAGTTCTTGGAGCAGTTTCTCAGAGGAATTTGAGAGTAAGAGGACAGAAATGAAACAGTGCTAAGAATGGATGTGTGTTGATTCTCTCTCTGTCTCTTAGTTTTCCTCAGCACGTCAGTCAGAGGAGAGCTGCCTGCAGCCCCTGAGAAGCTGGGAGTCTTGGGGTGTGGGGATCTTGGGCCTCAGCCTGTGAACTGAGTGCCTGTGGGAGGGCAGGCAGCCTCACCTTGTGGTGGTGCTGGGAAAGCAAGACCTTGTCCTTACCTTGCTGGTGTCGTTGGGGAAGTAGACCTTGTGGCAGATGCGGGTGACATTCTGCTCGGCAGCCTCTACCTCTACTTGGTGAGGGGGCTGCTTCCGGGGCCCTGACCTATAAAGGACAGGACACTGTGGGCAGCAGTCCATACACTTTGTGGGCTTAGCCCTGGCCTTAAGACTGGGAGTGGGGAGCAATGCTTTCATTCTTTATCTGATTTATATGTAACAAGATTGACCAGTTAAGAAATATGCATGAGATAGAAAGGATTAAATTAGAGGCCCCTATCTGGAATACTCAACACATATGACCCCTCAGAGAGGACAGAAGAGTTAGGCCTAGTGTCATGCTCAGGGGCACATGTGGAAAGACATAGCTGTCTAGTCTGAGAGCTCTGGGGGTGGATGTGCTGGCAGGTGGGAAGACAACAGGGGAGTTAGGCAATTCTATCTATCTCTATACAGGCAAAGTTGCCACTAAGTCACAGGTAGATACAGACTGATGCAAGGATTAACTGTGGAAGGCATAGGCTTCTGACCTCAGCATGCTTGTCTGGAGTTAGGGTGGACAGATGGGCTGCTTCTGGCCTCCAGGTAGTTAATTCTGTGCCTCCCTGACTTCCTGGGCCTCAGCCCCACTTCCTCCCTGAGGCTCATTGGAGTGGTTCTCTCTACACTGGTGCCAGTTTCTGGAGAAGACAGTCCTTCAGGGGAGTTGCCAGAATACCTGGCACTGGGGCTATCTGTACCCCTGTTGCTGGCCTGTACTGCTGGGCACGGCTGACCCTGGCTGGTGTGCCAGTGAGCACTGGAGAGGTGGCTTACCTTAGGGCTTTCTGGATTCGGAGGCTGCAATCAAGTGCCAATAGCTTCTTCTTCTGAGTGTCCAGGAACTTCTGGGCATGGGGCAGCAGCGCCTTGCCGGGTGGGAAGAGGCCTGTGCATAACCACAGCAGCTGCCAGCCCTTCTCTTCACTGTGCCTGCATGGTGGGGGGAGGGGTATGGGCAGCTGCTGGTTGGGAGGAGTCCCTCCTGGGGTTCAGGACAGTCAGGCAATGTTGGGGAGCTGATATCCAAAAGATTAGATTTTGATATTATTTTTTTTTTGTGGTTTGAATCCACCAGCTTCTCTGGGGAAGAAATGAAGGCTGTCTCCTCGTAGGTGATTTATGTCTTCTGAAGACTCATTGGAAGGTCAGCCAATTGGTTCCAACTCAATGGCAATGAGCAAAGGGGAAGAGACTGTGGAGTATATCAGGGCACGCTGGCCAGTGTGGAGACCCACCAGGCCCAGGTAAGATCTTACTATAGAACTGCTGCCCAGCATTCCAGAGGACTTCCTCTGCTATGACAGATCAGTGCCCATTTTTGAAGGAGGCCATTGATAATGAGGCTGTATTGCTCTTTTATGATCTCAGCCAAACTGTAAGGAATTAAGGCCCACGGCCTTAAAGTACTCCGTAGAGTGATGGGAAATCCTGTTCCCTGACAGAGCATGTTGTCCTCAGAAATAGGTAGGGGTCTTTTCCTAGTGGTGAGAGTCAACAGGACAGACCTAAATTCCAATCCTTCCTGCTGCTGCCTGAGCAAGCTGTGCAGGCTCCCACAGCTGCTGATTCCCCTCTGTGCACAGGCATAGCATCCTGACAGGTGGATGGGCTGTGTGTTGCCTGTCCCTCAGCCAACCTGCTCGAGTTGTGTGTCAGCTGCTTTAGGATCTGGCAGTACACCTCATCCTGCAGGGTCGCCTCCTGGAGTGCTGGTGCAAAGATCTGGTCTGTGAGCTCCAGGGAGGACAAGGTCTGTCGAGAGGGGTAGTCACCCATATACCTGAGGATGGGTGTGGCTGTCAAGGAGAACTACACCTTAGGAGAAGGATTTGAAGTCTGTCATTTCAGACTTGGCCCCATGCTGACCATTAACACTGGCACAAGCTGGTCCTCTGAACACATGGCTGGAGTCCACACTGATCCCCATTTTCAGTCTCTTACCAACCCAGTACTTAATGGGTCCCTGGACCTAGGTTCACACTGACCATGACCTCAGCCTTATACTCACTATCCCTGATCCTGGCCACACATTAGCATTTAGTCCTGAACCATCCTCACCCTCAACCTCGATTAGTACTAGTCCTGAACCACAGTCCACACTAACTTTTCTTGACCTCAGTCCTATGGTGGGCTGTCCTGCACCCTAAGAGGTCAGCCCCTTTGTAGGGTTGCTATGGGAACAACAAGGGTACAGTACAGTAAGGTGCCCGAGGAGACCACTGACCAGGGAGGATATCAATAAAGGTCTGGCAGGCGCAGTCCCTCAGGTCGGTATTGGCGTGGACGTGCTTGAGAAGCGGCTGCCTCAGTGGCTCAGAGGAGTGGGCCCACAGGTAGCCCTGGGCCCTGGCCAGGGGCAGTGCAGCTCTGCTGTTGGTCTCCTTCTCTCGAGCCCTGCCAAGATGGAAGCGTTATGGTGTTGTCTGTGGGAGCTACACTACTAACACAAAGCCCACACTTCTCTTGGGTTCTGAATCCACCAAAGGCTCTCCTGGAGAGATAGACAATCTCCTTCCATACAGTTTACAGCCTCAGAAACCCAGAGAAGGGGCAGCCATGATAGGCAATCTCCTCCCATGCAAATTACAGCCTCAGAAACCTAGTGAAGGAACAGCTGTGAGTTGGTTTCAACTTGATGGCAGTGAGTTTTGAGTGAGCCATGACAGAAGTAAGGCATTCAGGCTGCCTCTTGGATTCACTTTCATGGCTCCTACTCTCTCCTACTTTCATGCCCTGTCTCCTCCCTGACTCCCTGGGATCCAAAGCACAGTAGCTATGAAGGCTGTGCTCTCTGTACTCACAAGACTAATCTACAGCTCTCTGAGGGTCTGGGCTGCAAGGGCCTCTGCCATACCTCTGTCCATAACATTCCTCCATGACTGTTGACTGTGGCTGCCCCCATGAGGTCTAGACTAGGGCAGGTACCTGAAGAACTCATGGGAGAATTCTTCCAAGGTGTGTGGCTTCCCCTGGGGCTGGTCTTCATGTGAGGGTTCTGCAAGCTGCCTCTCTGGGGTCACCAGCTTCCGCTTCTCAGGTGACATGACCAGCAGGCTCTGTGGAGACACAAGCACTCAAGCTCCTGGGGCCCCTCCTCAAGGAACCCCCTAGCTTGGTGGCTCTGACTTGAGAGAGGGACTTGGCCTACTCGCTCTGGTGCCGGCACTCATTCAGTCCCTTTAAGCTCCCCCTTTTCTTTTCCTTTCCCTTAGGGCGATCAGTGCCACTGTTTGGGGTGCAGTCACTTGAAGATCTTCACACTCATGGCTCACTTGCTCCACAGCCATCTCTCCAGGAGTGTCTCTCACCCATCCTGGTTCTCCCTAATTCAGGCCTGCCATTAGAGGGAGCTCACATCCCATCATCAATCCCTGAACAGCCAGTTCTGCTGTTTGGAAGTAGTTTGTACATTTGTAATTAATGTTATTAATTACAATGTTCCCTAAGGAGTATTGTTTTCAGTCATGTATTGCTAAGCCCAGGGAGCTCTGGTGGACTAGTTATAAGATTGCAGCTGGCTGCAATCACAAAGGCAGGTGGTTTGAATCCACCAGCTGCTCCAAGGGAGAAAGCTAGGCAGTCTCTTCCTGTGTGATTTACTGCCTCTGAAACCAATAAAGGGGCAGCTATAGGTGGTTCCGACTTAACAGCACAACATTGCAAATACCACACAGACAGTTGTTTGTAGGCGCTGTGGAGGACGAATGAAGGTGCTCAATATGTGTATGTGAGAGTGTCTGCTGGTCCCAGCTTCTCTACATCACTAGTGCGCTTGATGGTCTTGAAGATCAGGGCCGGCTGGGAGAGCCAATGTTGTGAGGAGACATGGCTGCCATGGCACCAGTTTACGTGGAACTGAGGCTGGGAAAGGCTGGTCCAACCACACACAGAAGGAAAGGGAATGGACCCTTACTGATGAGGCCTACCTGGTCTATGCCATCATCACTATCACCCACGGGGCATGAAGGGCTATGGAGTGGTCTAGTGTCCAAGTGATCTCTGGACTTTGCAAGGTGGGATGCAAGCCCCTGTGATGAATCCTGGTTGGTGTCTTAGTCGAACCCTTCTAAGAGGTGGAGTTGCATTACCAACAGCTTTGCTGAGGGCTTGACAATGGTCGGGATGATGTAGAGGCACTCTGCGGGCACCAGCCCCACACCGCCCATCCTGTCACTCTGGCACAGAATCCAGTTCTCAGAGGCCTGCAGCCCTTGCTTCTCTGTCAGGATCAACAAGTCACCCTTCTTGATAGTCAGGAGGTTGGCATCATCTGTGGGTAAAGGTCACACACACGGGGACAAACCCCACTGTTTACTGGATTCTGTTGGTTAAGCTGTATGCAGGCATACCTTGACTTTAGCCAAGGATTTGGGTACAGAGCAGTCACTGGGGCCCTTGGCAGTAAAGGGTGAAAAGATGAGACCCTCCAGGTGGAGGCTCAATGCGCAGGCCCATCTCCACACCCCTGAGCACACCCTGGGAGCTTCTCTCTCATACCTGCTTCAGGGCAAATGGGTGGGCAAGAGAAGGGAGAATGTACAGACTGGGACCACCACACTTGGGCTGTAGTGGTGGTACCCATAGGCATGGGCTCTCTGAGAGGCTGAAGACACCTCCCTCTTTTCTGGGAGTGCTTTGGGAACAGAATAAAGGGGCGGGGATCACACACACATTAGTGCTGACAGGAGATTCCAAAACCCTGGCCTGCAGTGATAGTGATAATTTAGCACCTGCTCCCATCTGCATCAACAGAGTCTGACTCTGTTCTGAAGTCTCTGTATGAATCTCACCATAATTGCCTACTGGAGCTGTGCTGTTGTGGGGTTTGTGCTCACACCCTCCCCCATGCCTCTGCGAGTTGGAGCTGCTAGACCTCACCCTACTTCTGCTCCCACTGGAGTAACTCTGGCTTAGTCTGCATCTATAAAGTAGTGTAACAGGGTACAGATGATGTTTAAAGCCCAGAGGGCAGTCAGATTGTTCACTGGGGGGCTGATTATAGACTGGACCTTCTTCGTGCTCAGGCCAAGATCTACTCTGGAAATCTTGAGATCATCTTTTCAAATGCTCTCATCTTGCAGAAGAAACAACAGGTGAGAGAAGGCAGGATCTTTCACAAAGCTGCTCACAATGGTAGGCTATAACTCTCCTCCCACCAAGAGCACCCCACCCCCCGCTCACAGTCTTCCATCAGCTGGCATGGGCCCCTTGTTGTCCTCCTGATGGGCACCTGTGGCTTTCCTGTCCTGCAGGGCTATGGCAAACACGGACCGCTCCTTCAGTCCTTCCAGGAACATGGCCACCAGACCTGCAATGGCCACGCTGCTTGGGGTGGCAAATTCATACTCCTCTTGATGCAGTGTGGAGAGTGTCAATCTCTGCCCTCCTTTGGCCGCCCTGAGAAGAAGCAGGGAACTGACTAGAGGCCTCCCCTCTTCTTGATCAGCATCCCAATGGTTCTGTCACAGAGGGAAAGACTTTCTGGAACTGCAGATGAGGGGTGGTAACTGGCCAGGCATAGAGCCAGAATCACTGAGAACACTGGCCCAAAGCTCTAAACTCAGAGACCCAGCTTCAGCTTGAGAAAGCCAGCTCTGGGAAAGTAGGGAGGTGGTGGGTACAGGATACTCACAGGGTGGCACACACAGTGCAGGTTGTGTTCCTTCTCCATCACAGGCTCACCCTAGACTGTGAGCTACTGAGCATTCACCTGCTAAGTTCACTTACTTACAGAATGTATGCTGACAGCATCCATGGAGGTGCCCAGAATATAGTCAGCCTCAGCAGATGGAAGGTCACAGAGTGTCCAAGTCATAGCCTTGGACAAGGAAACCAAAACAGCCCCAGCCATCCAGTCAGCATCCCCTCTTGGCAACATTTGCCATGATTCTGAGACTGTAAATCTTAATAGGGATTGCTGCTATTATGCTGGTGAGTCAGAGCTGACCTCCAGCGGGTTTTCAGAGGTGTGAATTGCACAGGAGGTGATTGCCCATTTTTCTCCTGAAGAGCAGCTGGTGGATTAGAACCACATTCCTTTGTGTTGGCAGCACAGGTTCTTGTCACTAAGGCATCAGAGCTCATGCTTGGAAAGGTGAAGGAAGACCTTCAACCAGGTAGATTGACACAGTGACTGCAGCAGTGGGATCAAGTGGGTCAGAGACAGTGAGAATGGTACAGGGTTCAGGGACAGGTTCAGATCTGTTATTCATAGGGTTACTATGAGTTATACTTGACTAGACGGCACAACAGTAACAAAGCAATTAGTGGATTCAAATCACCAGGTTCAGATCTGTTATTCATAGGGTTACTATGAGTTATGCTTGACTAGACGACACAACAGTAACAAAGCAATTAGTGGATTCAAATCTGCCTTGAATGTGCACCAGCTACAAGACTACAAGTTAAAGTACTCATTCCAAGTGGATCTGGGATTTTTAAAAAGCTGAAAGGGGTAGAGTAAATCTCACAGGAGTACCTAATGAGGCCTAAGGAGAGTAGTTCCCAATTCAAATGACCATCAGGGCATACCTGTTGACCTCTGTCTCCCCACCCCATGGATCCCAGGGACAAGGAGGCCCTTCTCTCCTGTTTCTGAGTTCCAGATGAATTATTTCGAGGACTAAGGTGGTGATTTGGTGTGTCTTCCCTCAGGGCACCCACCTGTTAGTGACCAGACCTGTGACCTCTGGGAATGAAAGTTCTAACAGCACCTTTTCTCTCTGGTCTAGGAAGCACAATCCCTTCCAGGTTACAGCCAAGACAAGCAGAGCCTTGGGTAGCTGGGGACCTGTGGGGAGAAGTGGTGTGAAGCTAAATGTGGGTCTAGGGTCTGGGACTCCCCACCTTTCAGGTGCCATTACCAGAGAGCGTGGTGACTTCAAACAGCCTAGCAAAGAACAGTGGCCAGTGCAGCCGGGCTGTGTCCACCACCTCCTCCTGGACGGCCAGTGCTGCCATCTGCTTCTGAGTATACTGCGCCTGTGTGAATGAGAACTGGGCTTATTGTGGTCACTCTCTCAACTCACTGTCACCCGCCCTGGCGACCTGCCCCCTCACACTACCCTGAGTCCACTGCCGATGGGCAGTGTATTCATTTGATGATGTATTTGCCATGTTTCCACCTTAGCTCTGGAGGCCAAGTCAAAGGGCTCAATCTACCAGCTCTTCTGTGGGAGAATGATGGGCAGTGTCCTCCCATGTGATTTATAGCCTCCCCAAAAGCCAAAAATGGACTGGTTCCAACTTGATGGCAGTGAATTTGAGTCTTCTATCTTAGGTAAGGCAAATGAATGCCTGAGGGGGTGTGGGCTGGAGAAACTTTGGTGAGCTAGCTTCATTCTCTGCTTTCTCTCCTTTCACCCTATAAGATGTGGTTTGGACCAGGAAGGAGAGCTTTTCACTTTAACATCTGGATGCCTGATGGTTATAGGGGAGAACTTGTTTTGTCTTAGCACAGAGGCTGTGTCTGTCTATGTGCATGGTTCATGTTTGTCTTTCTATGTGCACCTGCACATGTGTTTTGCACATCTATATTCTTGTCTGTGTATATGTCTCAGTGCACATGTCTGTGCATGTGTGTTATGAATTTGTGAGCATATCTGTGTATGTGTGCATGGGTGCACTTGTACTTGCCCTTGTCTACACATACTTTTCTTTGGGTCTAAATCAGTTTGGAAGTTGTCAATATGATGTGGTTCTACTTTTGAGTGTATTTCTCTATTTCTTTATAATAAAACTCACATCCGTATATCAGTATATAGATAAACATTCACTAGTCTGGAAGGGTACATGCTGAAATGCTGATGATTTATTTGAAGTGGTATCAGTGATGCTATGTTTTAGTATTTTTTTCTCATGTTTACTTATTTGGTAATGTTCATATTTTAAATGTTTAATAAAAAGTCAGTGAAACTATCCTCAATTTGGGAAAAAAGTGATAGGGTATGGACATTTCCTATTTTTTATGCTCACCAAAACCCCTTTCTAAAATTACTCATGTTTATTTGGGTTCATGCATTCCTCTAATCTCAAATATTTATCTTGGTGTCTGAAAATTTCTTTGTCTCTCTCCTACTTGTATCTACTCCAGCTAAAAAACACCAGAAATGGCCAACAGGTCTTTGCGGTCCTGAACCCTTCCTGTCAAAAAGTATTACTGAAAGATGCTACTAAAAACCTGTGGAAAGGAGGTTCTGTGGTCCAACGTGTTTGGGAAATGTTTTGGGGCAAAACAACTAGTAAGTGATGTGCATTATGATTCACTGGCAGTAGCACAGAACTGGTCATGTTTCCTAAGTCATAGGAGAAAAAGCATGGTCATTGGGTTGAAAGGGCCACTGTGGCCATCTTCTGACTAGAGTAGTAAAATGGAGATTGTCATGGTTGACAATGGTTGTCACTTCGTTCTTCTCTAAGTTCTAGTGGCACCTACTGTCTGTGTCACTCCCCTGGCATTTATGTTCCTGACATTAGGCTGTCATTCCTTTGCGAGCAGGTATTTCCTTTTAATTCTTTGCTTTGGCCTTGGTCCAGAGTGTTTCGGGCCAATCGTGGATCATTAACCTCTAAGCTTTTATTTTTGATGGCTCCACATGCACAGCTGTCCTGCAGTAGCTGCATTGGTTGGGCCTAGGCACCTGAAAAAGCTATACTCTGCAGGTTCCTGAGGAAAAAAAAAAGACTCTAACATTGAGCCATGAAAGGATGCAGACCAGGTTGAGAAATAGTGTGTATTGGATGGATGCCTCTTCTTGGGATGAAACTTTGAGAGCAGAGCTGGAAGCTCCTCTTATGAGAGAGCTCTGAGAAGGTTTCCTGGGAATGGCCATGGAGGAGGAAAGCGGGAGTCTCTCAGGTGCTCTGCCCTGGGTTCCATCACATGGGGAGCAGACTCAATTGTGTTAGAGGAGGACAGCTTTTCTACTCTCAACAGAAGCACAGAGCATGCACAGCCTTGCAGGGGCTGCAGGGAGGTTGCTGGAGGTCAAGAAGAGGAAGCCTCTCAGGGAACAGCTTCAATGTGGAGGCCACAGAACAATTAGTGGTCAGCACCTATGGATATCCTCATAGGAGGAATGGACACAGGGATGTGCTGCCTTCCCCACACCCCAGATTCACTTGAAAAGAGGAAAGAAGGTAGAGTGGACTGTAGTGAAGAGTTGGGCTGAACTGCTTACCTCTGAGGAGACTGGGCTGTCTGTCCTGAATTGCCAAGTGTTACTACTAACTGGGGCTGGGAGGTTCCATGGGGAGGGTCAGGCGTGGAGACAGAAGAGCTCCATCACCTTACCTTGCCCATGCTTCAGGGTGCACTTCCATAGGCCACAGGATAGGTGTGCTCAAACTGCAAGATAAATGCCCTGGGAACACTCCACGCCCTCCAGGGGCATCTGGGCTGTGAGGGGACTGACCTTGGCGTGGGCAGCAGCTACAAGGCTGGCCCACCTCTCAGGTGGCTTGGTCCTGTACAGCTTGGCAGGGATGCATCTGGGCAGCAGTTCCTGGATTGCCTCTCTTCTCGCCAGAGTGCTGAACTGCACGTAGCAGTGCTGGGCCAGGAACTCCACCAGCTCTTCCTCCTGCACAGGATGGTGAGCATGGCCAGTGAGGGGTGAAGGGCCTCCTCAGAGGAGAATTGGTTGGTTAGGAAGGACTTGCCCTGTCCTGAATAAAACCTCCATGCACCATGATGGCCCAGTGAGGAGCAAACTAAAGAGAGGGAGACCCTCCCTGTGCCTCTCCACCACCTCTCAGGGAGCCATGGAGGAGGTTGGGAGGAGGGAATGTTGATGTTACTCCTATCGGTGGGGCAGATACAGACATGGACTTGGTCTTCACGGATCAGGAAGAGTCTGTTGGGACTTAGATGAGACTGTGTGTACAGCCTGGTAAATAATCCTGCTGTCTAGGAGAGTCACTAGAAGCCTGCCCTTGGACCACCTGTCTTCGAAGCTTCCTGTATGCAGGGCCTAATCTGTTGTTGCTGCTCCCTAGTGGTCCAGCCACCAGTACCAGAGTGGCCTTTCCTGGCTTAATCTGAGAGAGAGTTGCTCCTCCTGAACTGATTCCAGGTCTTTGTGAGCACAGGCAGTCTCAAGTTTCAAAAAAACTTTACAAAATAAGTACTATCACTCTTGGAACTTTCTATACAAAAGTCCAAGGCTCAGATAGTGGACTCACACCACCCAAAAAAGACGTAGGTGGGATCTGAACTGGTCACTAGGGATCCCTGCCATGTTCTTGACTATCAAGCATCGCTGCCTCATAAATAGAGATCCTGTGTGGCATCCTTGTTCTAATAGAGGAAACTTCCCTACCTTCTACTGAATTAATGAATCTCAAAGGCTTGGCTGGCAGACTTTGGTCTAAGGGAGAGATGATGAAGGTCAGGCCTAGAAAGGATGATGCACCTCCAGCAGAAAGCCCAGGACCTGTCTCACTTTCTGCCTTATTGTCCATGGTGCTCCTATTGGCAACACTCAGCTTTGCTTTCTGCTCCTTTGCATTCTGCTTTCTGTTTCCTTCTGAGGCCTGTGGACCCTCTGCTCAGAGTGCTTTCCAGTAGCCACAGCCCAAGTTATCCCACTTTTGTGCTGCCTCCCTGCCCTGGAATCGAATTCTCCCTTCATCTTCTCACCCTCTCAAAGCTGTATTCACCCGACCATACTCCATGGACAATTTGGTGATAGATGAGCACGGTGCTGACAGCATCTTTCCTGGAGTCATGCCAGGGGGTGAAGAACTCCTTCCGGAAGTAGATGCGCCAGGGTGACTTGCGCTCACTCTCACCCCGCTCCCGAGTTAGTTGTTCACACTGGCCAATGGCGTCCATCACATGGTCATGCTTGCTACCTAGTGACCAGAACTGAGGCCAGAACCAGACAGTGAATCAGTGGCTGCTAAGAGCCCACAGCTGAGAGGATGCCCAGTCTTTGCACATGTATGTATGTAAGAAAGCTGTGCTTGTTGCAGACTGTCCCCAAAGAGTAGGGATCTGAGAGCTCAGCCAGGTGCAGGGCCAAGATGGCTGCTGGCTGCTTCAATTGAGCAGAGGAACTGCATCTAGGTTCCCAATGGGTTTCCTGAAATGGGCCTGACCAAAGAAAATCAGGTTAAATGTGGTTAATATAACATGGCAGTGACACTTGGTTAGTTGTTGTGTCTGTGTCTGTGGTTATGAGGTATCCACAGAGTAGGTGTGATAATCTAAGGTGTGGCCATGCAGGATTTAGGTGGACCATATTAGTAAGACACTTCCCATTGGATTATGTAAGATGTACAGGGACCCAGTATCAGTGCAGGGGGACTGTGTCTGGGGTTTGGTTACAGTCTGTAGTTGGTGTTGACTCTGGGCTGCACTGGTGTGACAGGAAAGTGCCAAGGTGTGGATGTGACGCTGTTTGGGGGCTAAGGTACAGCTGCTGGGGTTTTGTATATGTATTTTGGATGAGGAGGGAAAGCTTCTGGTTATAAAGGTATTTCTAGGTGTGTATGTGTATGTATGTATGTATGTATATATGTGAGTATGTATACATTTGTGTATGTTTGTGTACACATGTGTGTGGGGGCCAGGTGGACCAGAGGTGAGGGCTTGAGCTTGGGTTTGACATAGGTCCTTTGCATGATGATGAAAGGATGATAACAAAACTTGAGGAAAATACCTTGTTGTATACAGCAGCATGGAGAGAGAATCCCAGGTGGTCGTCGAGGCCCTTCCTGTGGCTTATGTGCATACAGACTTCCTGTGCTGTGGAAGCTGAGTCAACCATCACTGTTAGGCTCTCTCCTGTCACCAGGATGACGTGGACTGGGATATGTTTCTTTGACTTAACAGCCTAGGCAACAGATGGGGGATTCAGGACCCTCTGCCCTTTGGACTCAGACAGCTTTTAAGGATTACCTTGTGGTTTCATGAATCCCAGATTGAAGACCAGCCCACCATCTCCATCCTGGCTATATGCCTCTCCTAAGCCCACTGCTCCTTCTTGCCTCTCTCATGTTTCCTGAGGCCTGGGACCTTCTGTAGTCCCACTGTTAGTACAGGACTTAGTCAAAGTTAATAGGGAGACTCCAAAGACATCTGTTGTCTGTTGGGAATACTATAGGTTCAGGAACAATGCTCTTCCCACATGTTCAGGAACAATGCCCTTCCTGCATGTCCACCATCTGGCCCAATTTCAGACCTGAGTCTTGAGCTTTGGTGAGCTTTTAGTATTACACACGGTCAGACAAGCTCTCTCAAATTTCTAAGTCTAGTGATCTGGAACATATTTGCATCAATGAGAACCTGTTCCTCATACACAGCTGTTTCTAGTTCATCTGCAATTGCAGAAATTATGAACCAAGCAAATAAAGTTGAAGAGTTTGAGTGGATGGTAATAAAAGGTTAAAGGATTATGGCAAGAAAGAGGACCATTCTAGGAGAAGGTGCTCACACTACTTGTCACCTAATCCTGTTGGCATCTACCTGCAGCTCCAGCCAGGTGGGGGGCTCTGTGCGTACTCCATTGACACAGGTGCGCCTAAGACGTTCAGCACAGAAAGGTCCATAGCCTGCTGGCCCTTGACCAATGAAATTCAGCAAATACTAGTGATGAAGGGGGGAAAGAAAGAAAGACACTTAGAACAGAGACTAATTCTTTTAAAAAACGTAATTCAGTATTTTTCCAAGTGCATTGAAATGGGCATTCACACACTTAAGGAATATGAATCAGTATCCAAATTGGGGAGAAATTTGGTCATATGTACCATAGTCTAGAAATGTTTATGTCCTTTGATCCAAAAATGAAAATATTTCAATTTATACATCCATATATATGTACATAGCATATTTATATAAGTCATTATGTTAATTTGAAACCTCATGAATGTCCATCAACAAGTTAAGTACAGCACCTTCTGGAACGACTGTGTAATAGATGCCATTTAAAGCTGCTTCCTGCTGCCTCCCAGGGGAAAGATGAGAAAGTTCTGTATATCTTCTGAACAATCACAACTATGGTACGGGAACACCACAGAAGCCCAGAGAAGATGCCAACGAGAATTATTGCTCAGTGGAGGGGTACTTCCATTCTCTTTTTAGAGGATTTCCATTTTGTACATATTACTTTAGCATTGGAACAGAAAGGTGTCTTACGGTAGCAGAGCCTGGGACTAAGACTTGGGCATGCCTCCTCCAACATGACTGTGCCATTTTCCACTCTGAAGACTAAAAGGGGGTCAGCAGCTGACCCTTGGATTGATGCCACTCCCAAGATTCCTTTGTCATTTCCTTAAACATTTCATTCACTGCCTCAAAAAAGCTCCAGAGATATGGCCCTGTGGACAGAGTTGGGGCTGGAAGGAGCTAAGCCCAGCACCTTCTTTAACATATGGGGTAAGTGAGGCCTAGGGAAGTACAGACACTGCTGCTTATATTAACCTAAGATCCAGAAGAACTGGCCAAGGATTTCACTTTTTGGAGTAATCCCTCCCTTGCCTGGGCCCTCCAACCTTCATGAATCTCTCCGAGGGTGGGAAGCAGCCCACGCAGAGGCTAAGCAGGATCCAGCCACGAGCCAGGCTGCTTGTTTGGGAGTTCTCCGAGAGCTGCTTGCAGATCTGGCAGTACACCTCATCTCTGAAATACAAAGACCACCAAGAGGTCAGACTAGGGGCTGGACAAAGAGGGAGAGGGAACCTGAGTGGAGTCTGAGGAGCCTGGACAACCCCCCCTTTTGCATCTAGGTGAGGTCATGTCCATGAGTAGCCTTCAGCACTGATCTTTCCAGCTTCCTCACCTCACTGCTGATCAATCTATCAGTATTTATTGTCTATAGTCTCACCCAATGCTAGTCATTGCCCAGGACCAAGTTATCTCTGTTGTTTTCCCAGAGCCTAAGGACCTCCATCCCTTCAGCCCTCATTTCCTAGCTCACTTAGTCCCATCCCTTCATGTATCTTTCTCATAATTTCATCCTCTTAGGTTTTTACTCTCATCCTCATTTCCTTACTTATTTGACCCTCAATGTCCTGATCATTCAGCCTTCTTTGCCTTGGCTGTCTAGTCACAGATACAGATGGAGGAGGCCTCCAGGACTCTCCAGCAATAACTTTCTCTCAGCAGCAGGACCTGGTCTTCTCATAATTATTTAAAACTTTTGCTTTCTTCCTAACCTATGCAGGGCCACTCATCTTCCTTTGCAGGATTAGAAAAAGATGAGACTTTATGGAAGGGCCCTTGGCTCTTCACTACTGACCAGCTTCCACCACTATAGGTTCATGAGATCCTCCTTCTTATTAACTCAAACTTCTTATTACAGTGTCCTGTTTTGATGTTCCACAAGCCCTTTAAGCCAGAAGCCAATGTCTGTGCCCTGGTAAAGAATGTGCTGGACGATATCCAACAGCCAACTCTTCAGGAGAGAAAAGTCTTGCCTTTTTGTATTTGAAGAATTCCATAGTGTAAATATTGCCACTAAGACCCATTTCAAGCTACATCATATTGCCACTCATAACAATTGGAGAAAGATGTGTATAAAGTGGCTTTTGTGAGCTGATGAAGTAATCTTCAGTGCACTCTCACTTCTATACCACTTTCATCCTAGACTTCTCTCCTGTCTCCCAAAACCATTCAACCCTCACACCCTACCACCTTCCTCCTGATCTCCTGTCACCTCCTCTCACTACTACTTTCTTATCAGGTCTGTCTGACCTCTGACCTCTGGGATAACCCTTTCCTGATCTCCTGCCTCTAGGCTCCAACCCTCCATGTTGTTGTTATGGAGATCTTTCTGGAACTCAAGTATGATCACAGTAATCTCTTGATTAAAACTTCTCCGCACTGTCCTTAGAACTAAATCCAAACTCCTTGGCCTAGGTGAGATACTTAGCATTTAGATTGTTTCAAGACACTATGATAACTAATTAGAAGGAAGAGAGTGAACAAGATCACAGTTTCTTGAAACAATGTAATGGATCTCAAATGCTAAGTATCTCAGCTAGGCCAAGGAGTAATCAAGAGATGAAAGTGGTGCCCATCTTTCTCCTGCAAAACTGTTGGATTCAAACTGCCAGAGAGGTACCACATTTAGGTTAGCAGTCATTTCTCTAAAGACTACACCATTAGTACTTTCCATGCTTCTTAGGGAGTTCTGGTGGCTTAGTGGTAAGAAATTGTGCTGCCTACAAAAAAATATATGGTTTGAACCCACCAGCTGCTCCGTGAGAGAAAGATGGGCCATCTCATCTCATTTCATGTGGTTTATGATGTATGGCTTCTGAAAACCAGCGGGAGGGTCAGCTATGGGTCAGTTATGACTTGATGGTACTTAACAACAAGCTTCTTAAAATTTGCATAAAATTTTTAAATAAAAATGTACGAATATATATATATATATATATATATATATATGTAAACAACATCCATCCATCCCATTCATCCACCATTCTCTCTCTCTTTCCTATTGTTGTTATCTACCATCAAGTCAGAACCTACTCATAGCTGACCCATCAGCAGGTTTTCAGAGGCAGTAAATTGCACAGGAGAGATTGCCCATCCTTCTCCCACAGAATTTGAACAATGTGCCTTTGGGATTGCAGTGCAACCAGTCTATTACCAATAAGCTACCAGACGTCCTGATATATTTTATAAAGGAATTTGCACATTTACATTATTCAGATTTGTACTGAAGTCTACTATAAAATGAATCATGAATCTATGATGAGTATGTTCATAAAACTGGGCTTTGCTCATGGACTTTCTTAATGTAGAGCAAGTTCAAAACCTTTGGTAGATGTATTATTTGCTATGCTTCTCAGGACACAGGAAGCAGAGAGGCTTGGGGACCTCTTGGGGAACAGAAGCAAGGTTGTGACAAAAACCACTGAGGGGATCCACTATTCTGAATAGAGGGGTAGGCATGGGACAAACCTGAGGCTGGGCCGTAGGATGGCATGGGCCACAATGAAGTGTACCTTCTCCAGATTTGACATGGGTTGGTCTGAGACGGAGCCATCAGATTCAAATACTTTCTCTTCTACTCTCAGCTGGCTGGTCACCTTGAGACCCAAAGACAGCATTCAGGACACATGTGACTCCATTTGTGAGGATTCCACAGGTAGCAATTAGACTGGAGCCCCACCAGTACAAGCCCAGTTGCAGAGAGGAGACTGGAACTCTAATCTCTTAGACTTGGGCTCACCTGGTGGGTGGTCCCAGGGAACTGTTTCAGCCTCCTGGAGGAGAGTGCCTTCATTCCTCTGTCCCAGTGACTGGACCTCTGTGGGAGGAGACAATTGTTGAGGGAAGGTGAGTGGTACCTTTGCTGGGAGATAGTAGGTGGTTGCTCTTTCTGCTCTGCAAGGTAGCCTAATAATTCGAATGCTCACAGGACAGCCTCAGATCAGTTACTTGTTCTGGTCCTCCCCCCACCACTGTAGGCTTCAGATCCTCTTGTCCTTCTACCTTTTGCTTCTTGCTCTTGCCTGCTCCTTCTTCAAATGTTGGCATGAATCTGTCACAGGTGGGAGTATTCATGTTGTGCAAACCTCTTACAGGGACAACTTTCTTGTTGCTACTAATCCCACTCTAGGTATCTTGCAGCTATGTTATTGATGCAACAGTACCTGGCTGTTCTATGGCTTCATAGGCCTAAAGTGGCCTTCTCCCTAGGCCGTCATGCATGGCTTAGAGCCCTTAGGTGGAAATGACTCAGGATAAGAGGGGTGACTTAGGAGTGACAGGCACCCAGCTGCCTTTAGCCCCATCTTAGATGTCCCTGGCCTCTATGATTTCAGCTCTAGCATCCTGTTGACTGTTTCCCCACTCCTCCTATACCCTGTACCCCATCCCATCCATGACACTGTTTCAGCACAGTCCCCTCTACTGGAGCAGTTCCATCTCCCCAAGCTCCTTCTGATAAATTTGCAAAGCCCTGTTTCAGGTTCTATCTCTCCCAGATCTCACAGCACTCACATGTATTGGTTATTACCCTCACTTCCAGGTGAGATAAGGGGGGTAATGGGGTGTCTTGAGGTAGGGCAATATTGGTCAGGCATAGGCTTAGCCCCTGGAGAACTGAGCCCTGTCTTCTCAGTTCCAAGATTGTAAAACCCTTAGGCAGTGCTGGGTCAGCGGTGTTTCTGAGTTTTCGCCGTCCTCCCCACGCACAGGGGGGCTCTGGTGGCCTAGTGGCAAGAAGCTGCTCTGCAATCCTGAAGGCACGCTGTTAAAGGCCACCAGCTGCTCCATAGAAGATGGGCAATCTCCTCCCATGTGATTAACTGCCTGTGAAAACCCACTGGAGGGTTAGCTGTGGTTCAGTTCTGACTCTATGGTACACAATGACAACAACAACCTCATGCACAGCCAGAGGCATGGCTGATCTTGGCTTGATGAATGAGCTTGGATGCTATCTGTCCCTGAAAGTCAGGGATCAGAATAATCTAGGTTTCAAGGCTGCTCTTTTCTTATTTGGCAGGTAGCATTTGCCCCGGCCCCTGTGATCTGTTAGTTTCCTGGAAGAGATCTAGAAACAGGAATAGTTTGTTGTAAAACTGAAAGCTTATACAGAGCAAAGATGCTTAAGGACCTGAGAGTCCTTAGCTAGGGCATAAGCCATCTCTACTGGGCATCTTACAGGAATAGGGGACACCACCTTTAGGCTGGAAGTGAGGGGTTGCATCTCATATCTGAGTAAATTATTGGTGACTTAGTGGTGCCCTGAAGACTAGGTGGCTAAGTGTTCAGCTGTAAATGGAAAGGTCCAAGGTTTGAACTCACACAGAGACTCCACAGGAGAAAATACCTAGCTATCTGATTCTGTAAAATTCTTTTAAAACTTTGTTGCTGTTGAACTGACCCTTCTGTGGGTTTTCTGAGACTGTAAACCACAAAGGAAGAAATTGTCCATCTATTTAACTCAGAGTGGCTGGTGGACTTGCACTGTCAGGGACAAATTAGCAATGTAACTCCCCTGATCACAGTTTAGGAGACCCTGTGGAGTAGTCCTGCTTTGTCCTTTAAGGGCACTGAGTAGAACACCATGGCTAGCTAATGGTGGCACAGGGATTGAAGGTGGCATCTGATGGCTGTTGACTTCCTGAGGTGCCAGTGAGGGGGCAGAGGGAACACTCAGGAGCATGTGCAGGAAGGACACCTCCAGGCTGTCTTCCTAGAAGTCCTTTGTATGACAGCCTCCCACAAAGTCCCATCTGTTGGCCCTCACATTCTGTGGGTCTTCTCCCACACTGTATCTACTTTGAGTTTGTGTGATCCACAGAGTATGACTGAGTGAAGGGGTAGGACACAATACAAGATAATAGGCTCCTCTTGATTCTGCTTCTTGCCCTGTTTGCTCTGAAGTAAGTTTTCTGTCATAACCTATAGCCTCCTGGGAGCCTTGTGGAAAGCTCCTTGAGGTGAGGGATGGAGATGTCTTGCCAACAGGCTTGTGGGAGTGCTGTCTTGGGGGCGTGTTCTTCAGCCTCTCAAGCTTTAAGTGACTTTAACCCCCAGATGCATCCTGACTGCAGCCTCAGAAGAGATGCTGAGCCAGAACCACACAGTCACTCCTGACTGCTAACTCTCAGGTGGTGATGTCAGGTGATGAATATTTGCTGTTTTAAGCTTCCAAGTTTTAGGGTAATTACACAGCCATAGGAGACTAATATGTTTTATAGAGTCTACACTTTCAATGACAAGGGAATCAAAGTGTGGGCTTGCAAAACTTCCATCTAATGCCCCGCTCCCAAGTGACCATGTGATCCCAGGCAACAGGATCTTATAGACTTTGGTGCGGCTAGTCTGCTCACAGGTTTCCACTGATGTCCAAAGAGAGCCCTTACCAGTTACATAGAGTGTGGGTGGAGGTGGGTTCCTGACTGTAGGTGGTTCTTGAGTGATTTCATGCTATGTTAAGCTTCTCTCAAGTAGTTTCATTAATACTATCTAACTAGGGCCTTGGAAAGGATTTTGGACCAAAATGAAAATGAGCATGAATTAACCCTGCAATGAGAGATAGGACAGCTTGGCCTTTGAATGTAAAATGAATTAAATTATAATCATCAAGTATATTTACTATAAATTAGGGACCCACTACTTCACCTTTCTGAGCCTTAGTTTATGTAGCTATAAAATAAACTTGCCTGGAATTTAAATGAAGAGATACACAAATGGCCAGCATCTTCTGTATTGATGTTATTATTTTATGTGCTTTAATCTTGTGCAAGTTAGATCTAATATTTAAAGACAGGGAATCCTCTTCATTGATAACTATATGACAAAAGTCCCGAGTGCAGTCCTGAGAAGTTCAAGGTTTGATTCAAGACTGAGCAGCCCCGGGTGATCCTAGCTTAAGGGTTGGGTTTGTATCTCCTCTCCCAGGCCTCAGGCTGAGTGCTGTACTGCCTGCCAACCTTGTACCACACCTTTGCAGAGCTGCCATGCTGTGGAGACTGGGTCTTGTCCTGGATGCACAGCTTGTCCTGAACTTGCCATGTCACTGAATTGCCATGCCAACTGGTCCCAGAAAGAACCACTGGCTCCGGAAGATCCCCCATGAACCTCAGAATGATGTTCCACACAGCAAGTGCGACCTGGGAAAACAGAGGGTCCCTTGGAGCCACAGCTGCAGTACTGCCCACCCAATACCCCAGATTCTCCCATGTTCCCTCCCAACCACAGCCCAGACTCTGGCTCTGGGTACCAAACAGTCCATATCATCTTCATGGTAGAGCAGCGGATGTTGAAGATGTTGCTGGATATGAGTATAGCTGGCAGATTTCTGAAAGTAGGTTGCGGCAAACTTGGGAAAGGTATACTCAGTGAGGTTGTCTAACTCCTGGTCTGGCTCCTCTGCCAAGGGGACTGTATCCAGGTCTATCTCAGGTAACAGCTCAGTCCTTGTTTCCAGATCCTAGGGACCAAGTTGAAGGCAGGGATGAGCACCAGCAAGTCCTCCAGAAAATAATCAGCTAGTGACCAGTGTGGCATGCATCTGCCTAGCTATTTGTAGGGAGCTGAGAACGCTATCCCTCTCCCCATGTCTGAGACCTCCCCATGTTGGCCCCCACACCTTGCCACCTCCTATGGTTCCTCAGAACCAAAAATATGCACTGAGGGCAGCAGGACAGTTCAGATCAGGGTGTGGTAAGAGGGGCCCTAGCAAGCCAGTGCTCTGAGAGAGAAGGGGTGCTACATCACTGCAAGACCAATAGTGTCCATGTAGTAAAGGCACTAGGAAGAATTGCAGTTGTAGCTGGGACTGCAACAGCATCTCAGTTTCTTCACCTCTCTGCACCACTGGGGCCTGTGGCACTCAATTTACCCATCTATTCTGCTGTCCCACAGAAAGGTCAGGGCCTATAAGGGGTCCTTCAGCCTTCAACTGAAACTGAGCCAAAGAATGGCAAAGGTGTGCCTTACCTCAAAGCCCAATGGGGCCTGGCCTTCTTGTCCCCCAATCATTGAAGGGAGGAAGCCAAACACTTTCTCCACCATTTCTGTGTCTGTGATGGTGTCATAGATAGACTTTCGTTTTTTGGCAAGGAGGGGTCTTGGGTCCTTCTGCTGTGCAGCTGGGATGACCAGAAGTCCCTGCATGCATCCATAAAGGGAAGGTTACCACAGTCTGCTGTGCTTTGAGGTAGATGTGAGGGCATCTCCGTCTACACCTCACAAAAGCAAAATACACTCCATCCTGTCACCATTAGTGAAGAGAAACAGATTTTACTCTAAAATGATAAATTTTAATAGCTAGAAGTGACAAGGGATCAACCAGTTGGGACTTTGCATTACCAATGGAAAATCAGGGCCCCAAACGGGGGCCTGTGAGCCACTCCCATTTTACTTGGTTTTTGTAGCTGTTCCTCAGTCCACCATGTACCCCTAAGCTAGCATCCATCTGCACAGTCACTGCTCTGCTCATCTGGTCCTTTCACAGAACACAGTGGACTTAGTGGGAGATTTCTCAAGCCAGTGCTACTGCATAGGTAAGGCTAGTTTATAAACATCTTGGGATCACTGGGGTGCAGAAACATGCTGCTGACTTGATGTATCTGACAATCTGCTCTCTTACTTGGTTTGTTCACCTAAGTAGAAAGGTAATCAGTACTGCAATGCTTTCATCTCCATAAGTCCCCAATGCATTGTGTCAGAAAAAATGAAGCTATGTCTAGCTAGTCCACTGGAAGAGTCAGTTCTTGTAAGGGTGAAACTTCAAAATGTAAAAATACATTTCATGGTAATAGTCTCTGCTCTGCTCTTCCAGGCACCCCACGGCTATGCTTGGTGTTTCTCTACCCTCAAATCTTCCTGTCACATTCCAAGAACCTTTTTTTTTAATAGTAAAAATAGATTTATTAGAAAGTCACATTGCAGACAGCCCTCCTTGGAAGGAAGTATGGAAGACAGGCCACATTACAATAATCGTCTTCTTCCATGCAACCATCCCTTCCATCGCTCACATGGCCTTGTTTCCTGTGCCAGGAGGACAAACTTCCTTTTATGAGAAACCACTTCCAAGCTTGGGTTAGTGGAATGGGACTGGCAAGCATGACATTCAGGCTACAGATATAGGACTGTTCTTCTCTTGTCCTCTAAAAAAGTCCCTGCTGGGGGTGTGAGGTGGGGCGGGGGGGGGCAGGGGAAGACATGCCTCCCATGCTATACAGCCTTTGAGCTGAGGTGGAGGTAGTGTTGGAGTGGGAGGGGCTGGATGTCTTGAAAATCGCCCAATAACAACTTTAGACATGGAGAGGGGGAAAGGCGAGCCTCTTGTGGCATCTAAATTTCAACCGATAAGGAGGTTCCCAGTTTTTCCTCTAGGAGCTCTGGTGGCCTAGGAGTACTCCTAAAGGCACACAAGTAATTAACTGCCTCTGAAAACTCCCTGCCTGTTCCCTCATTGTGGCTCCAGCTCTACCTCCCCTCATCTACCCAAAAGTTTAGGGACCACCTACATTGCCTTTGCACTGCTGGAAACTCCGACGAGCAGCCATGCCCCTTGCATACGCCTGGATGACCACTACTGCTCTTCTCCTGTCCTTGACTGCCTGGCGCATCAGATAGCCCCTGCATCGGGCCTGCAGATGGACTATCCTCTCCTGAGTGGCCTGGTACTGCCTTACCAGTATCCGGCTCCGTGCAATTGCCTGTAGGCGCTCGAATCCAAGGAGGATCTGCAAGGAGAGACAGGATTGGCAGAAGGGAGGAAGGCTCGTGTGGAGCACAGAGAAGTGCATGGACCCTTCTGAGAGGGAAGAGTGCACACAGCAGTCCTGTAGAGATCTTTTAGTCTAACTTCATAATTACCTGCAAAAGGCTGGAACTAAAGTTTTATTTACACACTTCAAGCATGGCCATAGTTTGGGAGTTATTACTGGGACGTAGAGCTAGGCACACCAATAAATGCTAAATAAGAATATGTTAAATAGAATAAAAATTGAAGTGGTTCCTAGTAGCTGCTAACAGAGAATTTGCTTGTAATTTTACACTGGTGATTGAATTTCAGAGACCTCACTTTTCACACTAGTTAGGAGCACACCTGTGTGGAGGTCTAGGCCCAGCTCCATTGAGCTAATCCTCAGTAGTAATGAAAAAAAAAGGTACTGATAAGTGAATTAACACCAACTTCTGTGTTGCAAACCTCCCCTGGGCCACATCAGTCAGACACTGACTCCCTGTGATGTCCAGTGGAAATATGGCATCAGATTTTAGCAGATGGGCTCAAGTCATCAGATCAGAATTCAACTACCATCTTGGTCAAAGGAGGCTCCCCTTCAGCATATGCTAGAATTTCTGGAATTGAGATTAAGAGTGGCAAATATAGTTTGAGAATATTCCTTAAATAATTCTGATCCAGGAAGCATGGAAAGAAGGAAGGAGTACACATAGTATAAAAAGGAATTGGCTAGCACAGAAGAATTTAATGAAACAATGTATGAGCAAGAGCCCTGGTGATGAAGGAAGATGTTCAAGCTGTTCTGAAGGAACTGGCAAAAAACAAGGCCCCCAAAATTGACGACATACCAATTGACATATTTCAACAAACAGACACTGCCCTGGATGTGCTCACCAAGTTGTGCCAAGAAATCTGGAGGTCAACTACCTGGCCACTGACTGGAAGAGATCCAAATTTGTTCCCATTCCAAAGAACGGTGACCCAACAGAGTGTGGGAATTATCGAACAATTTATTAATATCACATACAAGCAAGATTCTACTGAAAATTATTAAGAAATGACTGGAACAGCCTATCAACAGAGAAATGCCAGATGTGCAGGCTGGGTTTAGAAGAGGCCATGGAACTAGGGGTATTATATCTAATGTTAGATGGATCTTGACTGAAAGCAAAAAGTACCAGAGAAATGTCTGTCTGTGTTTCATTGACTATCCAAAAGCATTTGACTGTGTAAATCACAGACTATGGCTAATTCTGAGAAGAATGGAAATCCCAGAATACTTGATTGTGCTTATGCGAAACCTATACAGTCGTCAGAACAGAGCAAAAAAACAGTACATGGTTCAAAATCAGGAAGTGAGTGTGTCAGGGATGTGTCTTATCTCCATATGTTTTCAATCTATATACAGAACAGGCCATCTGGGAGACTGGGCTCCATGAGGCAGAATGTGGCATAAGGATTGGAGGAAGACTTACCAACAACCTGTCTTATGCAGATGACACAACCTTACTTGATGAAACTGAAGAGGTACTTGCTCCAGAAGGGCAAGAACTGCAGCCTTCAATATGGATTAAAGCTGAACATAAATAAAGAAAACAAAAATTCTTGCCTGTGGGCCTATTGGCAGCATCATGATAAATGGAGAAGAGATTGGAATTGTTAACAGCTTCAGTTTGTTTGGCTTCACAATCAATGATCTTGGTACCAGCAGTCAAGAAATCAAAAGATGAATTGCATCAGGAAAGTCTGCTGTCAGGGACATCTCCAAAGTACTGAAGAGCAATGATGTCAGTTTGGAGACTATGGTGCACCTGATCCAGGCCATGGCCTTCGCAATTAATTGCTATGCATCAGAAAGCTGGAAAATGACTAGGGATGATAAAAGAAGAGTTGATGCCTTTGAGCAGTGGTGCTAGAGAACGTTATTGAATATACCGTGGACTGCTAGGAGAACAAACAGGTTTGTCCTGGAGAGGGTGAAAGAAGGCTGCTCCATGGAGGCATGGATTTTGAATCTCTGTCTGTCATATTTTGGGCATGTTTCAAGGAGGGACCAATCCTTTGGAGAGGGATACCATGCTTGGGAGAGTGGAGGGACAGTGCAAGAGAGGAAGACCCTTGATGAGATGGATTGAATCAGTGACTAGGGTAATGCGGGTAGGTGTGTCAGAGATAATAAGGTTGGTTCAGGATAGAACAGGGTTCAGAGCTGTTGTACAAAGGAGTAACAAGCAACTTGATGGCACATAACAACAACAACAACAACCATCTAGGCATTAGTTTTAACATGAAAAGCTGTTTCTTATACAAAAAAAGAAAAAAGACTAGCCAAGTTCTAGTTATTTTACTCTGTATGAAATTAATAATTGAAGCTTCCCATTTGTGGTTCACATTTAAATAAATAAACACTTCCAATTTCATTGAGAAGTATGAAACATCCTCCCCCCCCCCCCGCCCACTCGCATTTATATTGTTTTCTCACCAGCTTGAAATTCCTCCGAGTGCTGAAGCCTTTCCAGTTAGCCTGGAGGGTTGTGGCAGCTTGCTTCTGTCTCAGGAACTCCTTCCTGGAAGGGAATGCAAGACATGGAATAGCCTCGGACATTTTGAAGTCTTTGAATAAAGACAATCTGAACCCTAGACTAAGAGAGTAAACATACTTTGGGCAGGTTGTTGTTATTGTTGTTATGTGCCTTCTAGTCGCTTGTGACTCATAGCGACCCTATGTACAACAGCCCTAAACCCTGCTCTCTATCCTGTGCCAATCGCACTGCCTCTGACACACCCATCCCAATTACCCCAGTCACTGAATCAATCCACTTCATAGAGGGTCTTCCCCTCTTTTGCCATTAAGAGGGACTATTCCTTGGAATGGAATATCATGCATGGAAAGCTGGAGGGGTCAGTGAAAAAGAGGAAAATCCATAATGAGACAGATTGACACAGTGACTGCAGCAATGAGCTCAAGTAAGTCAGAGATGATGAAGATGGCACAAGACAGGACAGGGTTCTGATTTGTTGTTCATAGGGTCACTATGAGTTGTACTCTACTTCACAACACATAACAATAACAATGCAGAAGTAGAAGGGAGAAGGGAAAGGATTTTCCTAAAGCCTTAATATACAAAAAGACTAATGGCTCCAAATTAACTCACTACTACCCAGTAAATTTCTACTCATAGGTGACTTGAAAGTAGAGAACAGAACTTCCCTAAGAGTTTCCAAGGCTGTAAATCTTTATGGCAGCAGAGTGCCACATATTTTCTCTGAAAATTAGGTTTAAGTCACCAATTTTTAGGTTAGTAGCTGATTCAAACCTCGAGTTGCTATAATCAAGGATGCTTTAGGCAGAATGTTAAATGATCCAGGAGGTATCAAAAGAAGATGGAAGGAATATACTGAGTCATT